GAGAGTTGGGATGGGGGGAGGGGAGGAAGAAGGGGAAATAGGGAGGGAGAAGGAGAGAGGGGAGACGAGAGAGGAAGACGGGGAGGGAGAGGAAGAGAAGGGGAAGACGAGAGGGAGAGAGAGAGGAGAGAGAGAGAGAGAGAGAGAGAGGAGAGAGAGAGAGAGAGAGAGAGAGAGAGAGAGAGAGAGAGAGAGAGAGAGAGAGAGAGAAGAGAGAGAGAGAGAGAGAGAGAGAGAGAGAGAGAGAGTCAGAGAGAGAGAGAGAGTCAGAGAGAGAGACAAAGATACAGAGAGACAGAGACACGAGACAGAGAGAGAAAGATAAAAGACAAACAGACACAAGGACAAGGAAAATGGGCCACGAGGAGGCGAGAGGAGGCAGGAGGCGAGCAGGGCGAAGGAGCGCGGCGTCCCGAGGCGAGGCGGAGGCAAAACCCAGCCAGGAGGCGGCGGCGGCGGGCGAGGTGTCAACATAGGTTAGGCGGATTCCCCCCCGGGTGGCTCCACAAATGGGCTTGGAGGCGCCACGCTCGGGCTTCGTGCGTGCATACTTGGTCTGGGGGTGAGGTGAGGCGAGGTGAGGCGAGCCGGGGTGAAGTGAGGTAACGCCGGACGCTGGAAACGCTGCTTCACATCACTTCACTTCGCTCAGAGCCGGTCGCTCTCTACCTGTAGGGGGTGGGGTGGGGTGGGTGGGGGTGGGGGTGAGGAGGGAAGGGGGCGCAGATAGGGAGGGAAGGAGGGGCAAGGGGAACTTTTAAGTCTCTTCCAACTCGTATAAAGTTCGCAAGGTGAAACTTGTGTTCTACGGAACTAATTTTATCATATTTCCAATACCCAAAATCAAGAATAAGAAAAAAACAATATTTTTTTTGTTCCATTTTCTTATGATCATTATTATCCCTATCACTATCATCACCATCCTTATCACTATCTTTATCACCATTACCACGATCACCAACATTATCACGACTCAAAACTTGATTTCGGAATGTGAAAGGCCAAACATAACTCTCGAAGAAAATTGTTGGGTGGGGGGTACGGCGGAAGGGGGGGGTGAGGTGATAGGGGAGGTAGGAGGGAAGCGGCGAGGTGGGGGGGGAGAGGAGGGAGGGAGAGGGAGGGGGGGGGTTGCTTGATCCCATCGTCATGAATGGAAGAGAGCAAGACTATGGGGTTACCGGACTTGCTAGGCACTGAATGAAAGGGGGTGGGGGGTGGGGGGGCATCGCCTCTCTTTTACTAGGCTGGCGATACTCTCTCTCTCTTTCTCTCTCCCTCTCTCTGTTGATTGCTTGCTTCTCTGTCTGTCTGTCTGTGTTGTCTTCTCTCCTTCCCTTCTCCCTCCCTCCCTCCTCCTCTCCTCTCTCCCTCTCTCTTCTCTCTCTCTCTCTCTCTCTCTCTCTCTCTCTCTCTCTCTCTCTCTCTCTCTCTCTCTCTCTCTCTCTCTCTCTCCTAGCCCCTTCCCCCAACCCACCCAAACACAATACACCCCCGTCATTCCCTCCCCCCCCCACCCCGCCCACGCCCGCCCCATCTCAGGAGATCTCGAGTAAAATCACGGGCGGCGATAAGGCTCATCTTTGTTCGGGCAGTAAAACTAGATCTCAATCTCTTGGGGGCTTCTTGTTTCTCCTCTTTATTTGCCTTGCTTATCGCTCGATCGTCTCTCCTTCTCCCCTCTCTCTCTCTCTCTTCCCCTCTTAGTGCCGACACTTTATTCTCTCCTTGGACCATCTACTGTTTCTTTATTCCCCTGGACCTTCCCCCCTTTCCCTCCCTCCCCCCACTCATCTCCTTCTCTTTTCCTTCCCCTTCCACCAGCCATCTTGATTTCATCATTTTCCGATAGCTTTCCTTACCCGCTCCTCCTTCCCTTCCTCCCTTCTTTGACCTCTCATTTCCCCGCCCTCCCTTCTTCCCTTTCTTTCCCCTCTCTCCCTCCCCACCCCCTCCGTCTCTTCGTCCCCTTCCCCTCCCCTCTCTCACTTCGTCCCCCTCCCCTTCCCTCCCTCCTTCCCCCTCTCTGTCTCTTCGCCTCCCCTCCCTCCCTCCCTTCCTCCTTCTCTCTTCCTCCATCACCCTTCGTCTGCCGCGCTTCTGGGCTTCGTCACTCACGCCCGCCCCGGGGTATCTCGCCCTCCTGTCCCTGGTGGGTTCCTTGCTTCCTCTGCCCATTACTCCCCGTCGAATATCCCTTGCCTGATGCCCCTGCACCTTGCACCTCCTTCTGTCCCCTTGCCGCTGGCTCCTTGGCACCCTGCACCTCCCCCTGTCCCTGCCGCTTCTCGTCCTTTTTTCGGATGCCCCAGGGGGTTGTGTGTCTTTCCTCGCTGCTGCAGATTCATGTCTCGTGACTTTAGCCTTCCTTTCCTATCCTCTTCCTCTTCTTTTCCTGTATTTCTTCTACTTCTACCTTTTTTCTACTGCTTCTAGTATTACACCTTCCACCAGCATACTATTCTACTACTACTACTACTTCTGTATCTTTCTCTCCCTCCTCCTCCTCCTTTTTTTTCTTTCTTCCCCCCTTCTCACCCCCTCCTTTCTCCTTCTCCTCGTCTTTTCTCTCCCCCTTCTCTTCCTCCTCTTCTCTCCTCCCTCCACCTCTTCTCTCCCTCGTCCTCCACCCTCTTTCTTTCTCCTCCTCCTCCTCCTCCTCCTTTTCGCTCCAAAGGGTCAAGGATCAGAGCCCACTGCGCAGTGATCTATGGTTCGCAAACACAAAACACGTGGTAGGTAATCCCGCAGCGTGTTTGAGTCAGCGCGGCATAATTCACGCATTCCTTGGCATGAATGGACAGACAATGCACTCCGTTAAGGGGGGGAAGGGAGGGAGGGGAGGGAGAGGGAGGGTGGAAGGGGGAGAGGGGTGTGAGAGGGTGTGAGAAGGGGTGGTGTGTGTGGTGTGTGGTGTGTGTGTGTGTGTGTGTGTGTGTGTGTGTGTGTGTGTGTGTGTGTGTGTGTGTGTGTGGTTGTGTGTGTGTGTGAGAGTAGAGAGAGAGAAGAGAGAGAGAGAGAGAGGAGAGAGAGAAGAGAGAGAGAAGGAGAGAAGAGAGAGAGAAGAGAGAGAGAGGAGAGAGGCAGAACAGGACAGACACAGACAAAAAGGTTTATTCACGAAACACACCGAAGAGCATTAAAATTAGTGACAATTTTGATGTTCTCGAGTACTGGCGGCGAACATGCAATAACACACGTACTGTTATTCGATCTTCACTCGCCAGACTTGATAATTAATGGGAGAGGAGTGAGGGAGGGTGACGGTGAGGGAGG